AGGGCGGCGACACGCATCTCTTCACCCTCCGCTCTCCGCTTGTTCATCCCGCCACGCCAGGGGATGTACAAAATCACCACGGCCACCATTCGGTGGAAGCGGTCGACCGAGACCATCACGGTGCAGGCCATCAAGGCCAACTTCACGGAGTACGCGGGCGCGTGGACGCGGGCCTTCGGCCGCATGGTTTCCAGCCGGGTCCTCGGCCCGTCCGCTGGTGCGCCTCCGCCGACTACGCTGGACCAGCTCTGGCGCCGCTGAGCCGGGCCCGCGGGCCCCGGGGCGTGATTCGCTGGCTGCGTCCGCCTCGTCCTCCGCCCACCCCCCCCCTGCTCGCGCCCTGCCCTCCCTTCCCTTCGAGCTGCCCGTGCCGCGGCTGCATGTCGTGATGGTGATGGCGGCGACGAAGGCCCATGCGTGCCACCTCGCGCTCCAGCGGCGGACGCCCCGCCTGGTGGCCAGGGGCCACGGCGGAGGCGACGTCGCGTTCGGCGCCGCCGAGCTCGCGGAGCGCAGGACGAGCCCATGGTGCTCGACAACGCTGCTGGTGCAGCTGGCGGCGGTGGTCTGGGGCTGGACGGCGGCAGCGACCTAGAGGACAACGCCTGGGCGGACACGGTGGTGTCGCGCCCTGCGCCCTCGGCCGCGGCGCCTGCTGCGCTGCCTGGCGCCGCCGCTGGGGCGCTCCCCAGTCCTGAGTCGCCTGGAGCTTCGCTCGGCGGCGAGGCGGGGAGCGCCGAGGCGTCGCTGCTCCTGGCGGAGTCGGCCGCGTGCTCGAGGAGTTCATGGCCGCCGGCTCGACGGAAGCCGCCTCCGATTTCCTCCGCCGCCGCTGCGGCGGCGACGAGAACCGCATGCGCGACTTCGTCGCGCTAATGGCCTGGGGGACCGGGGCGGGGGCGGCTGGCCGCGGGAGGAGTGGTACGCGGTTGTCCTGAGCTGCGTGCACTGGGCCGACTCCTTCGGCCACTTCATGGGCCTCTTCTGAGGCGGCCCGCAGGCGCGGACGGCACCGTCCCCCCAGTGACTCGCCCATCCTTCTCATTTTCCTCCTCCTCCTCCTCCTCCTCCTCCTCCTCCTCTCCGCCTCCTCTCCGCCTCCTCCTCCTCCTCCTCCTCCTCCTCCTCCTCCTCCTCCTCCTCCTCCTCCTCCTCCTCAAGCACGACCCCACGCCGTTCACCATCCCAGAGACCGACTGGGTCAAGGCCGCCGACGAGGTGCGGAACTACCCGAGGTTCAAGGGCAACCGCGTCGGCACCAAGGAGTGCAGGGGCCACATCTTCCACCACCACCACAAGCAGAATGCTGCAGCGCAGATCGACTCAGCGCACGACCAGTGGGTCGCGACCCTGGAGATAGCCCTCCTGGAGACACACCACGTCCCCGCCGACGAGAGGGCCAGATACCAGGGCAGAGCTGAGGGCTATAGAACCACCAAGCGGGTAATGAAGGCATCACCTGGGAAAGCGTAGCTCAAGGACCCCGAGGCTACGTGGTGGCAACACTTCAGCACGCTCATCCTGAGGAACACAGCAGTGGTCAAGAATGCGAAAGGTCCCAAGGCACGCCAGCAGATCCACGGGACCATCCTCAGCAAGCTCGACGGCCCGGACAACCCAAAGGCCCAGAAGAACCACCTCGGCACCAAGACGGGTCCGAAGGAGATCGACGAGTGGAAGGCCCGGATCTCCACCCTCGAGTTCTGCGACGAGGGCGACCTCCGCTACATCCGCGCCACCACCACGACGTGGACGCACGAGGCCATGTCCCGGGCGGCGGGCAGAGCTCGGAAGAGATGCCGAGTGGGCGACGCTTGCCTGGAAGGGCTCTCCTGGTAAACTCCATCGCACCGTCACGGACCCCAAGACATAGCGCTTGGAGGACAAGATGGGTCGCACTACCGTCGGCGACCCATACCTGGTCATGAACAAGGCTGCGGACACGTGGCGCGACATCTAGACGTCAGATCGCTACAACGAGGAGCAGATCATCGACGCTTACGAGAGGGTCATCAAGCTCGCGAAGGAGGACCCCCTCCCGATCATCGAGCCGCGGCATATCCAGGCCGTCGCAGGCGTCGCCAACCCCAAGAAGTCGAGGGGGGTCGACAACATCGGCCCCATCGACATCCAGAGACTCCCCCCAACAGGGCATCCAGGTGCTCGCCAACATATATAACGCGTTGGAGCAGAGCGGCTTGTGGCCGCAGCAGCTATGCGTCACTGTTGGAGCGATGGCCCCCAAGCCCGCTGGCGGGGAAAGGGTAGTGGGCATGCTTCCTACGATCCCCAAGACATGGGTCAAGCTACGAACCACCATCACGGACGAGTGGTCCAAGGAGTTGGCGGAGTTCTGGGACACCGCCAGCAAGGGCTCCAGCGCGCGCAGGGCCGCGCTGGTCAGGGCCCTCCTCGACGAGACGGCAGCGGCGTTCGGCATAGCCTTCGCCACGATCTTCATGGACGTCGAGAAGTTCTACGACTCGGTCTGCCACGCGCTCCTCTTCGACGCCGCCACCAGGGTTAAGTTCCCACCGATCGTCGTGGCGCTGGAGGCGCTGCTCGACCTGGCCCCCAGGGAGTTGCGCATGCACGGCTGGGTGAGCGACACCATCGACCCGCAGCGGCCCCTCGTCGCGGGCAGCTGCAGCGGCGGCAGGCTGGCGAAGGCCCAGCTCGGGTCGATCCTCCGGAGGGCCCACCACAACTGTACCTACGCGGGCTTGTGGACCTTCGTAGACGACACGGTGGCCAAGACGGAGGGGCAGACGAAGCAGGCCATCAGCGACCTCATCGGCGTGGCGACGGACCTCTGTTCTGGCATGGCGGAGGTGGGCCTCCGAGTGTCTCCCGAGACGACGGTCGTCGCTTCCAGTCAGACGATCGCCCTCGCGGTCCACGTCGGCCTCAAGAAGAAAGGCTACTCCATCAAAGTGGCCTTCCGTCGACCTCGGCATCGACGTGGGCGGCGCACAGAGGAGGGTCGCAACCAAGGCAGTCAAGCGGGCCAAGACGGCGAAGCGCCGCACTGACCGCATCGTCACGAAGGTCAGGAAGCACGCCTCCCTCGCCAAGATCGCGAAAGGCCTGTGGACAACAAGGTCGGGGCCCCAGGGCACCTACGGCCACCAGATCATGGGCCTGTCCCCAGCGGCAGTCCTCGAGCAGCGGCGACGGGCCAGCCAGGCCTCCGCTGGGAAGTCCCAGGAGGACGGTGCCTATCCACCGCGCTGGCCGCAATCTTGGAACAGAAGGACCCCGCCATCGAGCTGGGGCGCCAATCGATCACGGAGTGGCTCCACCCCTGGCTCAGCCACCCAGAACACCACCTGCGGGTCACGCAGGCGTGGAGGCTCCTCTACGGCAAGACGATCAGCCGCGGCAACACGAAGTGGAGGAAGGTGCTGGGGCCCATCCTCGCCATTCAGGTCATCCTCACAGATGCGGGGTGGACAGGCCGTACGCCACACAAGTGGTCTCGGCCACCATGGGAAGGAAAGACCAAAGTACAATAATGGCTCCTACCACGCAGCAGCCAACCAGACTGGGAGGGAAAGAAGCACGACGTGGATCCTGCGGAGTTCGTCCACGGGTTCTGCCTCCCCATCGGGAATGGCCTGTGGAAGGACGCAGCCAAACACCCACACGGAGAAGGACTACAGCGTGGAGGTCCAGACGTCCACATCATCACGCACGAGATGGAGAAGTTCACCAAGAAGGGCTAGTACGACCAATGTGCCCTCAACCCCTGGTCGCGGGGGCGCAATGGCCCAGGAAGCGCCTCGTTAAGACGGGGTACCAAGCAAGCAAGCCAAGCCCGCGCTGCGGGGCCTCCGACGAGACGCCCATGCACAAGATCTGGATGTGCCTGAGCAACCGCGACCACGAGGGAGGACTACACCGATTCTGATGCCCTCCTTCCCTCAGCCCTTGCTGGGGCTGAGGCTTTTCCTGCCTACTGGCTCCGCGGCCTGCCTGTGCGCGCAGACGCGCGCCCTGTCTTCTCGTCGTTGGGAGGGGACGGCGGGTGGAGCTGGGCTGGGCGGGGCTGGGAGGACTGTGTCACCGGCGATGGAAGTCTCACCCTCTTCGGCGACGGCTCGGGTGGCAAGTTCAGTGACGACCCCCGTCGCCGAAGGGTGGGGACCGCCTGTATCGCTAGGAAGAGCCCCGTCGGGGAGTGGGTCTCCTGGGGAGGCATCCTTTCGGGCCTCGAGGGCCCCTCCCAGACGGTGCCGCGGGCCGAGCTCTTGGCTTGTGCGCTCGCTCTCGAAAGCTGGCCTGTTGACCCCTGCTTTATCACTGGCCGCATGCCGCTCTGTGACGGGTGGAGGACGAGCCGACACCCGCGCCCCAGCGAGGGCGCGGGCATAGACGTGTGGGCACGCACTGCCAAAGCAGTGCGCACTCGTGGCAGCAGCAAGCTGGAGGCGACTTGGGTGCCCTCACACAGCGAGGGAGCACCTGGCCTGGCATCCGACCCCGTCCGCTACTCCCACGCGGTCGGCGACGCAGCGGCTGGTGCGCGGGCAGGCGTCGCCGCCCAAGTCTCCTACGAGGAGGCAGCTCTCGCGGGCCAGGCGCCTCCCACTGGCCTGCCTCACACCCGGTGCGCCCTCATCCGCGGGAGGGCGCGCAGGGCGCTTGCAGACACGCTTGCAGTTGACCCCCTGGGTCGCGGAGCGACCCTCGCAGGCCAACGGCCCACGTCTCACCGAGCTCCAGATAGCCACGCAGTCAAGCCAGCATTCCTTCGAGCTCCGCGCAGGCATATACCTGTGCACACGTTGTGGGCTAACTACAGACCTGTGTAAAGTGCGGCAGACATGCGCGACGCCCTGCCATCACAAGCCACCGCAGCATGCGGCCAACGAGCAAGTGGTGCCAGCACAGGGCACCGCTACCATCTGCGAGCGCGCGCTGCACGCCTCCCACAAGCTACAATACATGCAGCAACCTGTCTGTACTTCTGCCGTGAATGCGGCAAGACGGCTACGCAG